TCCACATTTAGTAAAATTTATCCTTTCAAGTAATTAAGGTCCACAAATTTATTATAATGGATACTTCAGCCTGCTTGCAGGTTGAGGGCAGAGCCAGACCTGTTATCCACTCACAGCAGGGGAATGCTCCACCTCTTCAAGTTCCATCCAGTTGAGATAACTTCCGCAATCAGGATAATTCAAATTTACTTTCTAAATGACAGACTGTTAAAGATACTTTAAGGGGAAAGTACAACAATTTCTCCTACTGGAGAAAATGACATATTACATCAAACAACAATTAACAGAAATCCTCTCTCTGATCTTAATGATCCATTTCTTTTCCGCGTGGGTTGGATCTGTGGACCTTATTACTATAAGGAAGGAAACGGTCAGGAAAGCACATAAAATATTCTATTCCTCTTCCTGCTAAGGTCCACAGATCTGTTAAAGTATGTTTTTCATAGCAGTGTGCCTCCAGGGAGGGAAGCATGATCATCCTTTAAATAAATGTGTTAGTCTCTAAGGTGCCACAAGTACTCCTTTCCTTTAAACATGGACATCCAAAATGAGGTAGATTGTATGTAATCCATCTCCCCTTGGGCACTAAGGTATGGAGGAGACTTCTGTCAAAAGAAAGGAAATGGCACTGAGTAAGAATGAATGACCAATAAGCAGAACTCGGTGAACTAGTGGATATCAAGCAGATCTCAGACAGACAGACATGACTACTCTGCCCCGACACTGACACTTAATCGAAGGAGGGAATTTTCTTGAATTTACTTAAGGAATGAATGCCATGGCAGTTGTGAGGACTACTTGTCTTGAATTAAAAGTACGATACCGGGTTTTCCAACTTCAAATAAACTCCTGATTGGAGCCCCTGTCAGTCCTACTCTAATGGACAGGATCTAATGGATCTCCTTCAGAGGTCCAATCCAAGTATGGCTGTAAAGAGGAACTCTACGACCTTGTGGGGTTTGAATGAAGTTATACCCAAAGGAAGTATTTAATATGGGGACTTGTACAAAACTTCCTCTTCTTGAACATGTCAAGAATATTATACTAAAGAGATATGACCTTTTTGCATGGACACTCTTATACATCCACAATAAAGGATTCCTGGGGGAACTCAAGGATCACAGGTGTTGGAAGTAGGGGGGCTGGAGGTGCTGCCACATCCCCTGACTTAAAGTGGTTTCCATCATATACAGGGTTTACAGGTTGATTCAATGGCTCTCAGCACCCCCACTATACAAATTGTTCTGGCACCTCTGTCAAGGATATGTTTTGCTAGTTTTAACATGATAATTAAACTGTGGACTTTGTACCAGCCTGTAGAATAAGTTCTATTGGTTTGACTTCTCTTTTGGGTCCATCAGAGCAATACTTACTTCAATCAAGTGTTCATTTGAAACCATCTAGTCCCAGCTGGAGGACCAGTCTTGCAATAGCAGACCTCTGAAAATCCAATGCTAGATTATTCAGGTCTCAGAATCATAACCTCTTCAGCCAGAAAAGCATGAACAGTTTCACTGCTACTCTCATTCCTACTTTTTGTGTTGGCTTGGGAAAAATGGTCAAGCTGGAAAGACATATAAAAGAGGAGACCTTGCTCAGTTTTGCAAGATGTCACTGCCACCTCACATTCTGGTCCCGGCACACAGAGGTGCTACAGGACATTTTATTTACCGGTTTTAGATACAAAGGTTGATCACTAGCCTTCCAATTTTACTTACAATGATTCAGATACCTCTGGGTGTAGGAGCAACTCTGCCAGTTTGATTTCTGACATGCAAGTCTTGGTGTTTATTTCCCCCTTGGTGAGCATTTTGCTCCACCCAGGACAGACTAATCTCACTCTGGGGTACAGCTGATAGGGTTTTCATAAGAACTGGGAAGAACACAATCAGACACATTGACTGTCATGATCAGAACACATCTGTTTTCAAAGGACAGACCAGTGTCCTGAGACCTTAATAACTCAATCTGTTCCAGTTGGTGGACACTGTACTCTCTCTTTCTGGTAACCATTCCCTGAACTGAGTGGGTAAAATCCCTTCAAAATAAGAACAATGGGGGATTAGAGAATATACAACTAGAGCTAGATCTCTGTCAATTGAAGAGATAGGGTGATCTGCGGAGGGGATATACAAGATTACTGAGTAGGTATCATATGAACTCTGGATTGCTGAAGTGTACCTACATAGGAGTTCAGAATTCAAAATGGTTCCAATAAGAATTGGATGTTTCTGTGACACGTGTTTTTCATTATGGCCATCTTCCTCTTGTGTTAACATTCTTCTGAGATGAAACCTTGTACCTGACAGTACTCATCTTCAGTTCAAGCCTATGGCTTACTTCCCTGGCACCACATGTTTTTGTTTGTACTGAATTCTGCAACCATATCACTGTGCGTTTGCTTCAGCTTTCTATCTGCACAGAATCCTGATCAGAAAAATTGTCTGAAGAGAAAAGTAAAGTAATTTGCCTTCTTCCCTAAAGCCAATATTATTGCTACTCCCTGGGAGCTATGTAAAGATGAAATGGTAATGCTCGAAAAAGAGAAAAGAAAAAGGCTTCCAGCCTTTTGCAGAACATAAACATTGTCTGAGGATGGTAAAATGGGAATGTTTTGAAGGCAAGCTTCTTTTAGGAACTTCTTTAGAGATTTCAGAGAGGGCCCTGTGCTGTGTCCCCCAGATTATCCGGAGGAAGAAATAGGAGCTGTAATACTCCAACGTGAAATAGAAATAGATTACTTTATAGATGATTTAATTCATGCCATGGCCTTTCACCTGGTTGCTGAGATTGGGAATGGGACAAAGCTGTTCCTGGAATTCTTGAACAATTCCACAGGGTACTCTCTCTAGACAATTTCTGCTGACCTCATTTAATCAAAGCTATAGATAGCCCATTTTCTGCCAAACTGACAGAGCCTGGCACCAGTTGGGGTTCTAGCTCCAAACAGGGCTGGTTGGGAGAACTGCAGATAACTAAAGCAAAAGAGGGTAGTTACTGACCCTGCATTTGTTTTAGCTACTACTTGCAAAGAGGTATTTTCTCTTCTTGTACTTCCCAGACTGCTTGATCTTGTCACATGACTGCCTTTCTGTAGAGTGTCAGAAGCTAGGATTACAAGATTACTTTTCTGAAAACTCTGAATAGCCACAGCTTCTCATAAAGTTTCCAATTGTATCACTGGTAATGAATTTGTGTGAGCATCTGATCCCAAAGCCTCATATCTATATGAGCCAGATTTTAATCCCACTTTTTAAAAACTGATTGCTAGTCTAAAAATGTGAAAGTTCAGAATTTTCCTCAGAAAAGCTCTGCAGCAGGGAGGTCTAGTGGGGGCAGAAAAAAAACCTAAAGGGAATTTCAGTGCTGCCAGTGACTAACAGGTCTGGTTCTGCCCTCAGATGCAAAGCAGGCTGACGTATAAATTCGTGGACTTTAGCATGAAGAAAAACCACCTCTACCAGAAAACAGTGGCTAAAAGCATTGGGAGTCTTTAAAGAGTTCCTGGGTGTTAAAAAAAAAAAAGTTATTTCAAAGACTGATATAAACAAGCAAGCATCATAATAATCATATTTGATACACAAGATGCTCATAAGAGACCTTTAATTTAATGAGTTACATAAAATGTCTCCCAACAGTCACTGAAGACCACATTTTAACACAACTAACATTTAACAGACACGGAAAAGTTCAGATACCCATTTTACTGATTAACCCCTAATCATCACTTTAGGCAGTATCATGTACAGTAATTACAGAGTACTTATGACCACGTGACATCTCAGCTGAGTCAAGAATAAACTGGAAAGAAAATTGTAAGTACAGACAACAATGAAAATCTATATCCATCTTTTCTTCAATTTTACTAACACTACTTTGTTTCAACCCCTTCAACAATTTAAGGGTTTAAAAATTATTGAAACTTAATTACAATAATTTTGGAAAAGGCCAGATATTTCATAATAGGGATCCTTTTATTGCCTTTTCTTTTTATTGTATGAGGGAACTGGGAGAAATTCACTGAGAATTCCATATTCTGGAATGACTACTCCTCTGTTTACCAGGTAGGCTGCATTTGGCACATATGCATAAAACACCAGGTCTTAAAACGAAGTAGAAAGAACTCTGACATTGAAAAAAACCCTTTCTATAGTTCAATATCCTTCTAGAACAATTAATCATTGTTTCTGTGATTTCTTTAGATTAAGCATGGAAATCAAGATGACAGGAATCAGGTTAATAAGATCATGCAAACAGGTAAACATACATACATGACTCCCTAAATCAAACAGTTTTCCTGAAGTTATCAAGACAGTTACCCCACAGAATTGCAACTCCAGGTGAGCTGGAGAAAAGAGCTCTAAACTTAGCATTAGTACTGAAAAGCTTTGCCTAAGTAAAGGACGTGATTACTAAAGTAACTAGGATTCCCTTGATAGGAAGCACTCTGAATACTGCAAATACCAGAGTTACCTGATTGGTAACTGTAAAATTTACAAAGTCAATTAACAAGTTAAATATCATGACAGTTTTGAAACAGGCTAATAATATTAGCTTTCTGGTAAACTATCCAAACCCATCCAATAACCAGGCAAAAGGTTCAACTGCGATAGTGCACAGTTCTTCACCACAGTAGGGGATTGCATGTTAAAAAACATTTAATTCCAGTGTCATCACAACACACTGTTGACTAATTAGGTTAGTGAGCGATGTTTTAATCCAGGCCTAAAACATATACAGACCTGAATAATCCTATCCAAACTGCTAATAAAAATCTACCATGGACACCACAACGCATTGTAGACAACTGTGCATTCACATAGCTCCTGAACTATCTGTAGATGGGACAGGGGAGTCAGTAGAAATCATGTTTTTAAAACCTTCATGACAAGTTTCCTGCCATATCCAAGGTTTTGCTTTAAATAGTTTAACTTTAAGAAAATATATTTCTGTATTAGAAATTGAGTTCAAGAATTTAACATCAGTACAGGAGTACTTACTTCGAATTTGCCTCTTGATTTCCTTTGAAGAATCTAACCAGTTCTAAAAAAGGAAGAACATCAGTACATAAGGAAATAATTCAGACGAACGAAAGTGTGATATAATTTCATGAATTTAAATAAACACTTGTACAGTACATTCTTCTGATATTCTACTTTGAAAGTACCCTGAAGAATTTTTGAGTTAACTTGTAACTTTCCATCAAGAACTGTGCTTTGATTTTCTTCACCCTCCAACCCCCCCCTCCCAGCTTATTATGCAACCCTTTTAACTTCATTCTCTTAGACAAGATCTTATAATTCTGGAAATTAAATGATATTTTAGAGAGTCTTCTAAGGAGTATTTTCAAAGAAATTATACCTCACAAATCACCAAGTAATTTCCTTTCATTTATTCCTTTTATTGACAGAAAGCAGATCTCTATGTGTAATTTCTACATACTCCTGCCTACAAACCAAAGTTACTGAAGATACTTCTCTCCCATTTTCTACAAAGTAAAATATTGTTTTTCTTCTCTCAACTTCACCCGAACACTAGCTCTGGCAACATTAGGAAGTGTTGGAAAAGATCTATTCACAGAGCTCACTTTTTTCTGTATTTCCCCCCTTCAAAGGGTCATTGTGAACCAAGTATGGCATTAAAAGCACTGGCCAAAATGTTCAAGCACAAGTATCCATATCCATATTTAAGCACCAAGATGAAACTTGCTTGTTTTTCAGAATTAGGAGCCTAGCTAACAAAGGATGTACCACCTTCAAAGCAGAAAGCATCCCAGTACAATCTGTGTAATCCACTAGGCAGCACGCAATGCTTGAAATTGATGTAACTAGGCATTTAACCCTGTGACTGATGATCCAGAAGTATTTCCAGAGGAGGGGAATTGAGAAAGACATAAAATGTAATTATTAGTAACTGGAATTATCCAGATTGCTAATCTTATCCACAGACGTTATGTAAAAGAGGCCTGCACAGTTTAAGTGACTTGTAACAGAGCCTTTTGTTTATTGGCACAAATCAAATAGAGATTGATGCGGAAGAAGAATGAGGGGGGATTTGATAGCTGCTTTCAACTACCTGAGAGGTGGTTCCAGAGAGGATGGTTCTAGACTATTCTCAGTGGTGGAAGAGGACAGGACAAGGAGTAATGGTCTCAAGTTGCAGTGGGGGAGGTTTAGGTTGGATATTAGGAAAAACTTTTTCACTAGGAGGGTGGTGAAACACTGGAATGCGTTGCCTAGGGAGGTGGTGGAATCTCCTTCCTTAGAAGTTTTTAAGGTCAGGCTTGACAAAGCCCTGGCTGGGATGATTTAATTGGGGATGGGTCCTGCTTTTGAGCAGGGGGTTGGACTAGATGACCTCCTGAGGTCCCTTCCAACCCTGATATTCTATGATTCTATGATTGTTTGAAACCATTGCATTCAAACATCATGGTAATGAACGTAGTATAAAAATTCTGCATACATACTCTAAGTCAGGTTTAATGCATTTTAAGAGTGGGGGTGAGGAAAGAGAGAGAGACTGAACCTTTAAAGGCAAGACAGGAAATAATTTCACCTCCAACATCCACTTCACAGGTGTCTGCTTTAAAATCTCCCAGGGATTCCAGAGGTGCTATACTGCCAAGACTGTTGAGAGAATATCTGTATCATTGCATTTGTTGCCTGACCTAGCTACATGCTCTTCCTTCCAATGCAGCCCACTTTTGGGGCTGTGCTTACATGCTCCCAAGGTCTGTACCAGAGTCTTTTCTTGCCTTAGGTAAATTTAGCTCAGTAACACCAAAGGCACTAAGCTGCAGTTCCTTTGGGCTTGTGTGGAGCAGGGAAATTTGCACCAAAGTAACCACATCGATATTTTCACTCTAGTGGAATCCTTTAACACAGAGATGCCTTACACCAGTGTGACTTACCTGGGCTGAACCACACTGGTCCAAGTGTGGTTTTTTTTTTGCACCAGTGCAGTGTATCTACAATGGGGTTTGCATGGTTATAAACTATATCCACTTGGTTACACTCGTGTAAATTTCTCTTGTCCAGAAAAGCCCTTAAACTGCTTTAAAAACTAATGATAGCACCTTCAAGAAAAACATGATCAGAACATAAGATGAAAAAGATTTCCACTCTTGTTTTATACCTTAACTTATTTGTACACATATAGCTACTGCTTTGGGATTTTTAGTTAACCGTGTTTCCCTTCACCTGAGAAAAACAAAACTAAATCCCAGAGCTCCAAGAAATTTCCTATGAATAAGATCTCATCATTTTGGAGTGAGCACTAAAGATTTTTCAATAGCATTCTATAATATAAGCAACTATATTTTAACTTTTATAAGTAGAAGTGATTATAAATTTCCTTCTCTATAAAATTTCTTAAAATTATGAAAATCATTCAAGATTGCTTATAGGAGAAGGACTAAGTCAGCCTGCTTCTGCATTGGCTATTACAAATTTGTTCAAGTCTACTGCAATTTGTATAGTAGTTTTAGATCTTCTTGTTTTTTTGTAACAAAAAACCAAAAACCTGGACATCACTTACTCTTCATAAACCACCCAACTGCCATCTAGTGGAAAAGACTTTCCAGGTGAAATCCTAGTCCAACTGAAGTTAATGGAAGTTTTGCAATTGGTGAAATCCTGGCCTCATTTTGAAACCTTCTGTATGTCTAGCTAGGCTTTCAGTTCTAGCATTAACACAATTCTTCAAATGAGCAAGGACGAGTTTTATGCTATTTTACATCGACAACAATGATTTACAGGCTAAGTCAGTAGCTTTCCCCCTAGAGGTTTCCCACATTAAGTTTGTAAATAAGCAAGCTCATGTTTGTCATAATGCTCTTTCAAATACAGTGATAATGGTTTAAAACTCAGTCAAAATTATGCAAAACACAATTTCATATATGTACCACTTTTTATATAATATTTTGGTATTACCATTACAAAATACTATGATGCAGTAGTATACTTAACAGTGACATCTGCTTATAAAGAGCAACGTTCTTTAAACTATATTAGTGGAAAACGGGAACATAATAACAAGAAAAAGTTTTAAAATGAAAAAGGCAGCCTTTTGTTTTGTAAAAGATACTAGGTTCACTTTTTCTGATTTCTAAACCTGGAAGTGGTTTGTAGTTTGAGCAGCAATTTTCTAAATTTGTTAATTAACTTTATGTTGCATAACTTTGCCACTGATTTCAGGGCAGCTCTGCCAGATAAAATCAGTGGTCCTCGCTGCATAACGCAGGTCTAGTGTTCTACATAATATATGGGACCTTGGCTATAATATATAGGAATAGTTCTGTAAATTAATACATTTTACATGCATGTAAGAATATTTTTTTTCTGTACCCTTCATTTTGGCTAGAGTATTGTAAATCTATCTAAACAGTCTATCCTGATATGGACCATTTTGCTTTGGCTTATTGTGAAAAGGAAAGGACAGTGCTTTAGCATAGAAGATTTAAATGCGTGCACGTTAAATTTGATCCAGTAGGCAAAACAAGATCATTGTTACATTTGTAAATGGTAGAGTTAGAGAAGTAGACAGAGTAATGAATTGTCAGAGAATGTCAAAATATTCTCCACCATTACAAAATACAAAAAGTGTTTTTGTACAAATCCAGAAGAGCAGCATTTCCAGCTGTGATACACATCATCATAAGAGCACAAAACAAGTATTAATGGAGCATTCATGAACTCCCAGTTGATTTCATTACGCTACATGCCATCTAAACTTTTAGCAAACAACTTTAATGTTTCTACAAACTCTAAAATTTCAGAGAAAAGTGTAATTTTACTTTATAACAGGTTTTTTATTAAGTTTAATAAATGCTAATGAGGTCTAGTTTTAAGTTACGATACATCTCTCCCAGCTGCACAGAACACTGACATGGAAAAAATCAATAGGATCCCCTCTATTCGCACTCCTGATGTTGCATTAGGGAACAGCTCTAATTCTCCACTCAGAAGAGTGCCTGGCATTCAGTTTCCACACCCCACAGCTGCGGTCTAGCATGACAGCTGGCTCACAAATGAGTGGCTGTGATGAGTGCACAAGAATGGGAAAAACACATCATTCAGCATTTAGCACTGACTGGGCTAGAGGTCAGAGATTTGTGGCATTTTAATCTAAGGAGGCAACAGCCACAGCAGGAAAAAATGGATCAGAAGGAGCTGGTGCCAAAAATGAGGAAACAATCCAATCTTCAGAATCTTAACACAGAAAGGGGGAATAAGAAAAAAAGACCAGCACATAAAAACTGAAGCTTCCAACCCTCTGTTTTTATTTTAAATCTGTGGCTCAAAGGAGCTAGTAACAGTGTTTTGTTTTTTCTGGATCAATTAATTCAAGAAGCGAGATGACCATTTTGAAACATAAAGGAAAAGAGTTATGCAAAAGAGTAGATAGGAATGTAATAGGAGATGGAGAATTTCAAGCATATGGTCTTTCCCTAAAACCCAGATATGTGCAAAAGACCTTAAGCTTTACACAGCAAAGAGGAACATACAGTTTTTACCATTCTGAAAACTACAAATATGAAATATTTCCATATATATATATATATATGAGACGATGACTAGAACAGATAACTTTTCAAATGATAAAAATCTGAGTCCACCTATTTTACGTAGTCCCACTCTGTATATCTACACAGTCGCAACCACCAAGTATTTTGTGAACCTGCACCATGGATGCAAGTCTGAAAAAAAAAAAAAAACACTACATGGAACTGGTAGTGTTGCCCTAATAAAAAACGGAAATAAATGCCCCTCAGTCTCAGACAAAGGCAGAAAGTATGTATAAGATTCACAGCACACGCCCGGCCAGCCATCCTCATCTAGAAAGGGCATAATTATTCAGAGACACCATTTACATTTATTTCACTAGATATGTCAAGATTCAGGATGGGCCTGTCATCACTAAGGATATCAGAAAATACAAGGAATAAAAAAACCTTTCCACTCCTACCTAGTGGCATGAGTTCAGTGGCATTCTTTGCTAGAAGAGATTGGAATTCTTGCACTTCTTGCTATTGTTAAGCTTTA